AGTCTCATATCCTGCTGTGCTCAGTCACTGAGTGAAGGCGCCTGGGAAAGGGGTCCAGCAGCAGCAGGCTGTCAGGGAAGCGACTGCCCAGCCGACGCAGTTCTTTTTTCTTTTTGTTTGTTTTGTTTTGCTTATATTATGAATAAAAAAAAGATAACACCTAACAGTGAAAGTATATTAAATGCTTAATCATTCTAATACGTTCATTATATTACAGTATTTTTAGCATTATTGTGCAACGTTAATCTCAGCTCTCTCATGTTGGCACATAAATGTCCAATACCCGCTCCTTCAGACAATCTCTCATTACTCGCTGCTCCCGCCCCTGCACCTATGATATCGACTTATTCTAGGGCTCATAGAAGTGCAATCGCGACAGGTACAGTTATTTCTATTTGAACTGGCTCCTTGTAGTACTCGAGTTTTTAATTATCTTCGATCACATTGTTGTAGCCTTAGAATTCTTACCAGTTCCTGTTTTTTTTTATTTTTTTTGCTTTGTTACCAGCTACAGGTGCAGGCGATCATCATACTAACGTCTATGTAACTTGATACTCGCTGGCTCAAGCAGATCCTCTGCCTTCAGCCCACGGAGTATGCTATATTACTATCAGGTGCGCTGACTTTTGTGCCCAGCTAATTGTTATTTTTAACAGATGTGTCTTTCTCGCTCATAGTGAGCTCAGATTCCTCCACCTCAGCCTCCCAAAGTTTACGTACTTACCAGTGAGCCACGACATTACTGCCAGACGATTGCCCTTCCTTTAAGGTGGTCTGAATATTTATATCTATTGTTATAGATTATACATATTTTCCATCTCAATCCGATTATTGCTATCTATCTGGTTATCTTTCCATCTCTTTGAGCTATGTGTTATCTATAATGTGCTATGCATGGCTGCATCAAGTATCTCTTGAGATTCCCTTTTCAGTTCTTTAGGGATATATTCTTCAGACTATAGTAGAATTTGCTGTGATCTATGCATAATTCTAGTTTCTTAAGTTTTCCACTATGGAGGCTGAGGCAGGTGGACCACTTGAGCCCAGGAGTTCGAGGCTGCAGTGAACTATGATGGCGCCACTGTGCTTCAGCCTGGGTGGCAGAGTGAGACTATGTCTCTACAAAAATCATTAATTAAAAAAAATTAGTTAAAATGGTAACTTTTATGTTACATGTATTTTACCACAATAGAAAAAGTTTTTTAAAAAAATGTGCGTGGGGGTCGGGCAAGAGGCTCACGCCTGTAATCCTAGCACTCTGGGAGGCCGAGGCAGGAAGATGGCTTGAGCTCAGGAGTTGGAGACCAGCCTGAGCAAGAGTGAGACCCCTCATATAAAAAATAATAATAATAATAATTTATGGGGGGGAAAGGGCATTCATTGAAACCTTAAAATTTGTACCCCATAATATGC